AGACTGCGGAGTTTACCACGTGTCCGTATTAAACAATAAAATTTTCTCGGCCAATCAATTTCATTCTGTAATAACTCCGTTGTTTCGTTCATCGAAGAACGCACACGTTAAGTCTCATATTGCATGCGGGACCGTCGCACCTGCACACGATAATATTTGCGGGGAAGATATGAACACCGCGCGTATAGCGATCGTTGGTTTTTCTCATGAGTCATCGCGAAACCCCCCCATCATATTTTTGAACAACGAGCCGATGGTGTAAGCGTATACGCGTGTAAGCACACTTTTATTTCTTTCTCCTTTTAACTCCCCTCGTCCACCTCATTTTTTTTTCTCTCGTCCGCCGTAACGTTCGCGTAACGCACGCGGCGCGGTGAGCGCACCGTGCTTACGTATACGCAACAATAAACGTAACACGACGTGGATGGAACGCCACCCTCGCGTCACGCCGACGCAATCTGTGTGGAACTCGAACATTACCGAGCAATGCGGTCGTGGTAGACCATGTGCGCCAAGTGTGAGTATCGCGTACCCGCGTGTGCTGTATGTACGCGTTCGTTCAGTATATCGTTTATATCGTTTCGCGCACATACCGGACACGCATTATACACACACACACGCATACGCATGTACCGGCGTACGATGCGCTCCAGACACGGCCTCATGCACCTCCGTAACATTCTCTCGCGATGCACGTGTTGCAGTCGCGTCGCTCAGGCGCTTTCTCCGTCGCGCTTACCACCGTCTCCCTTCGTCGGAGTCTCGTATACGTGCGTACATAAGCAAACCTGTTGTTACCGCTCCTCCCCTGCATTATCTCTCTCACGCATCGGGCGCTGATTTTTATAGGCGAGGTGATTCACGAGGCAAGTTCATCAAGTCCCCTTCCCCGCCTTTCCGCGGACGCATCATGCGCTTTTACGGGGATTAGAGGGACGCGGGTGTTTCTCCTCTTACTTCTATCTGTACTTCCTACATCTATCAGTGGCGTAAGCGGTAGGGTGTTCGCACGATTTCGAGCCTCTCTCACCGCGACGACCGTAAATCGCGTCGCGCGAAACCAAGCGGGAAAGTTGCTTCGGCTCCGCTACAAGAAGGACATACTTTAGGTACATTACACTCCATTCATGCGCACACTGAACGTTATAACTGTATATTTGAGTTCAGTTCTCAGAAGATCCAACAGCTTTACATTTACTCTGATATTCGTCCTCGATATCGAAAAGAATCAATCTGAGATTTATATATTATACATATAAAAGTTGAAATATATTTCAAAATTTAGCTAGATCTAAAAATAATTTTGTTGGTTAAAATAATTATAAAGACGCTCAAGTTAGCTGATAGAATATCATTTTTACGCAGCATTGAGTTTTCAACATAATTATTTCAACGACCCAATAAAATAATTTTCAGTTTGTAAATATGTTTAATTAAATTTCCACTCGAATATTATTAAATAAAATTATCGTCAAATGCAACTATAGATATAAAAATTTGACAGTTCTTTCAGATTGGACAGTTTTTATATAGTTCAATACAGTTGTTAAGTACTATCATGAAATGTATTGTTATTTAAAAAATATTGACAAAGACTGAAGCAAGTATAGAATAGTCGCATACAAAAATTAATAGTAGCTACTTTCGCTCTCACGCCATAAAATCGGAATTTATGAGTCATATCTTCTTAAAACATGTCCCATAATCTTTGCGATCAAGCTTAGTCCGTGATTATCTACACTGTTGCTTGACATATATCCTTTATTTAGTTCTCTATCAGCAACCTTATGCGCTATATCAGTATATAGCGTTTCCGCATGCGTATACTAGTATATGTGCTTAACGATTTGAACACACTAGAACTTTGTAACGCGAATGTACTCTGAAGCAAAAAGAGAAGGCCGAGAGAAAGAGAGATAGAGGCTACATCGTTATCTTTACGCCTAAATCGAACACGGATGAAATTCCGAGAGTCATACAAATGGATAACACCACGGGAACGTCCGCAGCTTCCTGCACTGTCGTTGTTGGCGTTCCGATCAGAGAGGACGATCAGCTGTTACGCGATCCACCCACCCACACATCCGCGCGCGCGACAAGATTCTGTCTTTAACATGATCCAACCGCAACCACGCAAATGGGCGTGTAAGAGGTAATCAGGACAGTTCTTCTTTTGAAGGTAGTGCCGACGAACGTTACGCTTCTTACGATCTTGATACGCTATTCCAGCTGTGACGGTATTACTGATGATATCATTTGTCCTTGTTGTCACCGGAGCACAAAATGTAATTTTACAAGCGACTTGCAGGGAGAAAAGGCTAATGCGTGAAGACGTTAAGAGAATAAACTTGCGAATTAAGGCAAAAAAGTCTGCGTATATACAGTCTTGTTTCTACTTTGTATCTTTCTGTTTTATTTCCCCAAAAAAAACATCATTTTATTAAATTATTATTTTATATTAAGTTACATATGACAAATGCAAATTGTTATATTTAATATATTCTTTAAGAATATTTAATTAATCCAATTTACTCAGACAAATTTGTAAAATTTGTACAATATTTTTTAAATGTTTTATGAGTGTAAATTACGCTTGATTAAGCGGTGCGATTGTATGCAAATAAAATATCAGGATGCTTAATGTGATAAACATCTGAAGACATACCTTTTATGGTTACCGTAAAAATAAGATGTAACACCTTTCAGTTGTAACTGTGCGAAAACATGGACAGTACTGTTTCGTAATGTTTATGATGACACGAAGCAGTTGGTGCGAATCGAAAAATATAAGTTCCTTTACTCTTGGTTTTTAATGAGATAATTTATATGCGCAAAGCTGCATGGTGTCGGGGTATAGAATTTGAAACTTAAATATTATCATAAAAATATCGAGTCCTGCAGCGATGGAAATAAAATTATAGAGACCAAGTAACGCGACCTACTTCTCGTATAGCGTACTTATAAAATATATCTACATTTAACTTTCCGTGTCATTAAAGTTACAGAAAGGCTCGATAAAAGAAGATTCCATCATTTAAGATAAAACAGTATCGAATGCTATAAACTTTTTTTAGTGACAAATTTTTAAAAAAATTTAATTTCATCTTTTCTTAATAAATATATTGTGTCAATAGAGTACTTTGAAATAGTAATCATTATTAAATTTTTCACTTAAATCAATTACAAACAATATATAAGTATTTAAAATTTATAGTCTCACGTTAAAGGTATTATGTGAATAAAGCACAATAAACGTGGAAAAATGTTGAAAAATATTATAATAAATAGTTTTTTCTCCCCTTTATATACGGTCTCTATCATTCGCTCTTGCACGCGAACTAGCTATAAATGAGAGAATCATAATGGAATTAATGTATTATCCTTGCCCGTCCCTAAACCGGCTCGATCCCGATCAAGATCACTAGTCGAATTTATGAAGCACCCCACCCATCTTAATTCCTGCAGCAGCGGAACAACAGAAGCAACGGCAGCAACGAAGGGCCCCATGGTCACCGCGTAATTCACGCGAGAGAAAACGTGCGCGCGAGCGATTCGATCGCATTCGGCGGGCATTAAAGGCGAAAGACGAACGAAATAAAAGGTCCCGGAGTCGAGAGCGCACGAGTGAAAAGAATAAGGGCGCCGTGTGAGCCCTCCGGTAGCGTATAAACGTAGCGAGCATAGAAAGGTCCGTGGGATGGGCGTTCTTTGAGATGGTTGATCGCTCCGCGGCGCGGAATCAATATTGTTGGATTGCTTCGATAACGCCTCGTAAATATAATAAAGCCCTCCAACCCCTCCCTGTACCCTTGCCCCACGTAGTGTCTCGCGCGCAAGGCAGAGCTGCCCAAGAAGAGATAATGGTCGGAGCCCTGGGCACCCAATGGGCCGGTTGGAGGGGACACGTTGTGGCTAGGGCCCCACAACCCTCCATCGCCCTTGTCTCGCTCTACCACATCGTTCTCGCTCTTTCTCTCTCTCCCTCCTTCTCTCCCTGTCTGTTTTACTCCCTCTCCTCGTCTGCCTCACGATCCCTCACCACGACGCGTCGCGGGCAGACCTGCCGGGTACCAGAAGAGTCGACTCAGTGAGTTTCAGCCCGAGCCGGCGAACGCTTGGCTTTCTCTCCCACGGTGCGATCGCCCGAGAACGTCCGTGGCGATCCCCGCCGAACACCTTTTGACGGCTGTGTGTGGTCCCGGTCCTTTTTTCTTACCCGGTGGGTTCTGTAACGGCGCCCGATAACAGGGACGAGTCCATCTATGACTGTCGTCTAAGCGACAGTTTTTAGAGCGACCTATTCATGAAGCTAAGTGAATTGGCTCCGATTTCGTGGTTCGCAGGCGTCTTGTAGTCGCGGAGTCGGGTGACTGCGAGTGATTGCGGTTCATGTAAGATCTCTAAAACGCAACCGTATATAATACTTGAACAAAACGAGTGCACTTATATAATCTTGGCCGGACTCTCATCCCTCCCTGCGGATCCCTCCGAAAGCGCGTGTGGAGACTTCGACGACCGATACGGAGGATGTCACGCTCCGTGGACCACCCCGGCTGCCGCGGCCGTCGCCGTGTCGCGGTGGCGACGACCCTGCCGGCGATCTTGCGGTGAGCATCGTGTGTGCGTGTAACCCCCATTGTGCTGTATACCGACGTAGAGCGATATAGAAAAGCGACGTGGTGTGACTCTCGGTGAGTGTCATTGGAGAGTCAATGAGGCTCCAGAGACGTGGAACGATCGCAGCGAGGCGCAGCCGATGTGGTCTTCGTAGCGAGATTGATCGGTTTTTTCGAGTGATATCTGCGGAAGGAAGAAATCTCGATGTTGTTGTTGAATCGACCAGCGTGTGATTTATCCGAGGAAGAGAATATAGCGTGAATATTGCGCGCACGCTGCGTGTTTTCCACGAGTGACAGTAGGCGTTTGATGTGCGTTGGCCTCCTTATCTATTTTCGCACGACGCCCATGGAAATTTGTGCTAATCACGGATTAATGCATGTCGGAAATTGCAGCATGGAGGACATAAGTGTGAGTATTACATGCTACTTCTGTTCTGCGTTCGTAAAAGCGGAAATGGGATTTCTGAGCTTTTCCCGCCACTCCCATCCGTCGCGATAATTAATCGCATGAATCCATTTAATATAATTCACAATACCGACGTTTCGCGATATCGGGGTACGGAGTGTGGCATTTTAGAATCCTATCGAATTTCGAATGTATCACGAAAATGTTGACCACGTATCTCGCTCATTCTTGGTATTCTCAAGTATATATATTATATAATTATGTATTCAAATACATACGTTGGAATTACTCGTTCAAATAATGCAAATTCATGTGTATTGTTTATATTATTATTTTATTTCCGGATCACTAGTGTTTTTGAAGAATTCTTTCGTTTTTACCTATATGATCACGAGATTTGCAAACGTTAATTAAGTCTCATTTATAATTTCAAGTAATTCATCTATATGAGAACCGAGATGAGAACGTTCAACGAATAGAAAAGGAATAACACATGCGATATGGATTTCAAATTCATGTCGCGCTTGTCTTTTCCGCGCCAAAGGCGCCGTGGTAAAAATCGCAAAACAAAACGAATTGAAGTATGAGAAACGAGTTCGTCTACTTCCCCAAAAGTATCCCGAGATGGATCACCGTCGACGCGCCTGACAGCCGGTGTATTAAGGCAGCGACAGACAAATTTCCGCCGGAGCGCAAAAAACGGCCTTTCGCGGAGACGAGGATGAATTTGGTCGCTCTCGTTGCACCCCGGCCGATTAGTCTCGGGAGACACGGTAGCCGGCTGGACCGTCCAGAGGCCGCGTGTACACACGCGTGCTCCCCGCGTGCACGCGAAGACGACGACGCCGAGCGCGCGCATTCCCTCGCCCGTTGGACGGCCGGAGCTTATTAGTTCGCATTGGCCGACTCTCACGCGTCTACCATACGGGACAATGCGCCTGGGGATTGCACATTGTTGTTTATATTTACGCGTCGCGGCATAAATCTTCGTTTAAGTCGCATTCAGCCGCGGCGCGGCGTGCGCGGAGTGCATGGGCGCGCACACATTCGCACACCGGCTGCGAACGCGAGCGCGTACGGTTCGTCACGGATAACGCGCGGTCTTCATTAAACTTAACTTCTTTGCGTGCCGACCGGCCATTAAGGACGGAGGACCGGCCTACGACTAATTTGTACTGTAAATGAGATCTCGAGGATCGTTACCCGCGTGAAACAACGTCATTCTAACGGTCGCACAGCCCGCTGCTACGTGATTATCGCTTTTCGCTGATGAACGAGTGAATTGCTAAACACTATTCGACGTTTATTTCTATCCATTAAGTTTTGCAACTTTTCTTTCCATTGAGTGTGTACAAGTGCGACTTGGCTGATTTTATTAACTTTCGTAAAATTTATCAACCTACACGAGATAATGCTTCAAGATTGTTTTGGAACTTGAAAGTGTGACGTAGATTGTACTATGAATGTTTATAGGAAAACTGACAGTACATTGCACAACGAGAAGTAATTGTTTACCCAAAAACTAATGTAGATCTGTATAATTATTTTCTGCCAAATATTTTCACGTGTTTCTAAATAAAAACTATAGTATTTTTTAGTAGATTATTTAGTAGAATACTTTGTAATTAGAAATAGTAATTAGAAACTATGGTGAATAATAACTATCAATTTAATTTATCAATCTATAATACATACGTGACTGAACTGTTAATGTTACAAAAATTTCATTAATAATTTACCGTATAAAAAATAAGTAAGTCTTGAAACAAACTATTTAAACTGCGCTTGATATTCTGTAATACCATAGCATAGCGCGTTTCATCCGACTTCGTATTCAACGTATTAATGAAGCACAACCACACTTTCGACCGAGACAATGCCCTCTCCCTATCACTCCGCATCTCTGTACAGCGAATAATGCTTCCGAGATTAAGACATTATTTGCGAGATACACTTACATCGCGTGGCATTCTGTGTACAGTAATGACGGCATACCGCTTTCGGGATTGTCTATGCGTGCGCGAAAGAGAGACGGGCTGTGATGACTACCTTCAGTTCGCGTTCCCTCTGAAGCAATTTTCACCGACTAACTGACATACCTGCTTATACGTGCCGCGATCAAGACCGCCCATCCTCGGAGCATTTATATCGCTGTAGCGGCCAAGAAGTACGGACGTACGTAATATTTTGCCTAGGCACCAGCACCGCTCGGGATATACAGCTATAGGTAAATTATGGCCATTAAATTATGAATATAGCGGCGTGCGCGTTTTACGAGAATTATTTTGCCATGTAAAGGGGAATTTATTCCCCGCGCGAACATTAATTCTTCGTGCGGGTAATGGCATGGTGAAGTGCCGAGATGCGGACCATGCGAATCGATCGTGGATCGAAATCACGCCATAACATCAACAGGCACACGTAAGTCCGACATTTTTCAATGCGATTGACAGACGCGGTTTCAATGCGCGTAATTTACGCCGTTGAATCGCCTCGATCTAAACGCAACTATTATTATCAATTAAAGAATACGCATTTCAGAGACGCGATCGTAATCGCCTCGTTAAAAGTTTACGATTATGTAAGCTTATAGCGTATTGAATTAAGAATATGACATAAATGGCCAATAATACATGCCGATTATAAACTGTTGTAGTCAGCAATCCTGGCGTGTCGTACATTAGAAAAATTCGATGCTGTTAGCTTTTTCTCCAAAGTAACATAAATTGCAAATACATTGATGAAATTCTACCGGTGATATTTGCGACTTCAAATTGGAGGATACGGCTATTAAAACATCGTTAAATGACAGATGCGTTCTTAGAGATTGTGGCATATTTGACTAGATCTATCAACGCTATGCTTTAAACAGTTAGACGATTCTGCTATACAACCGGTTACTTGACTCCATACACTACGTAATCTTCTCGTTTTTCCCGAAGAAAATTGTGGCGTATCGTATGGCTTCGATTACCTGCTGCCTATACAAACACCTAGAGTGTACATACATGAGCCCTTAGGACGATACTCAAAGATGGATAGTCCACGGAGAATCTGATGCGAATACATAAATTCTCAGCGCTGTATACGATATTGTGAATTCGATTATGCCTCTGCCGTTTTGAATTAATAAATTTTTTCTGAGCTCACAAACAACAGCATCCACTTTAATATTTCAAGAGTCGCCAATAAAAAATAGAGCTAACAAAACGAAACTTGTATAGATAAAAAAAAAATTTATTTATTTATCTATATTATAATATTACATCTTTATGAAACTACAACACTTAATAGCGACATAATGTCGAAACATCTATAAACCGAGAAATAAAAAAATGGACACTGTCCACTGTAAACGTATAATTCTAGATTCTAATCCAAGCGGTTTTCAGCATTTTGTCATAACGCTGCAGCTTCGTTCTTTTTGTTCTCCTCTCCACCGCGTCTCGCCACATTCGGAATTCAGGCAGGGAGAGATAGAGAGAGGCCCTCTCACGATTATCAAAGGGGAGGAGTCGGTGGCGCGAGGAAACAGCGTCAGCGGTCTTCGCGCCAGATAAATCTACGTCGCGATCTGCGTTCAAGAACGTCGTTATCTACGTGTGGATACACGCGCTCGCGCGAGCGCACCTGCAGGCTTCGCATGTGCTTGCTCGGTTCTATACGGGAGCGGGCTATCGTCCATCGCGATGGAGGTTTCCGAGGGTACGTCGGACTTAACGATCAGAAGAGGCGTATGGACCAGCTGTTACTGATATCACCCTAACTAGAGTTTTGTTTTTCGCGGCGAAATGAGTCGATGAATTATAGCAATGTTTATAATGTGCAATGGGCCTATTCCGCTGGAGAAAGATGGTATTTTATCCAGATGAATCTAGTGGTCAATATTAACTGACTCGTTTAAGTGTTACAGTTATACTGAATACAAGTTTTACGTCGTGTGCACGAAAGAGACGAAAACAATATTTCACGACTGAATGCATGATATTACAACTGGCCTATCGGAAATCACTAAGTTATTGTTTAAAAATAACACGGACATGCAAGATATTATCACGTTTTTTTTTTTTAATATAAAAAGAATGGTTTTGCTGAGGAATTTAAAAATTTAGCCAGTAACAGATCTGAAAATAATTTTTTTAAATTATCAAAATAATTATACAGAAAACTCAAACATGATGAGTATTTTTAAAGTTAAATAAAATTTTAAAATCTTTTTACGACCGTGCATGTGATAAACACAACGAGAAATAAAATTGTTTTCAGATCTGCTGAGAAAAATGGTCCGATTAGATTAAATAGCAATTCTGGCGGAAAAATGAACGCATCAAAATTTTCTGGTTAAATCTACTAGAATTCTGATTGATGTAATTATTCCATTTTTCAACCGGAAACTTTTCAGCGTGTATTTAGCCAGATTTTTAGATACTTCAGCAAAACCGTTCTTTCCGAGGAACGGATAGATAACCATTCTATTGGCACATATAGGTTACAACAGCGAAAGTAGAAATACGAGTGATGCAGAAGTCGCTTTCGTCGGGAGTAACTTTCATAAATAATGTATTTTCTGACACAGATGCGTAATCGATGCACCTGTGTGTACGCGCAAAACTCGTTGCGCGGTTTACCTACTCCTGTCATCCGATTCGATTACCGTAAGAACCGGATTTCTGCATGATTGTCGAGAAATACGTATGTATGCCGACAAGGTGACTTTTGCGTCGAGTTGACACACGAGTAAATCAACGAGTCGGAAACTCAAGCGTGTACCTACCTACCGCTTCCCGTACTCTATCGCTGGACGAGTACACGAATCACCTGCTTATCTAATGCCGTCAAGACTACGCGAGTACATGTTCTTGAGCACACGTATCGCATCTCATTACAGTCGTTGAGGTCTTGTAAATTGCAAAACTGTTTCTCGCGTTAGACCCTCTTCGGCTTATGTAAAAATAAATGTATTGTTTACTCGGAGAAGTTTACAAAGCGGACATCGTGCTTTC